TCTTAATCCGACGTCCGTTTTCGTTTGTCTTTTTACCGTTGCACTACTATTGACAAGATCTTCGATTCTTGTTTAGATTGTTTTGGCTAGAAATCACTCGATCTCATATTCGAACTTCGGGCTGCATACTGTTAAGCTGAAATTTAGAAAAATCATAACGACCTCATACGAAGTCAGATTTAGACGTTCTTTTTATGCATGTTCTCAGTTTAACGTATTCTACGTCTTTCTTTTAGATCACTAAGGCTAAATATCGCTCTATCTTAAATTCATATTTTACGTCATTCAGCGTCGTGTCGGTTCTGTCGCGAAACTTCGACAGGTCATAACTTCTTCGTTATAACTCGGATTTCGACATTCTTTATATATTCAGAAACCTTGTCACGACCACTTCGTCTTCATGTATCGATATCGGTTCTATCTAATATTTCATTTTTATGCTTATTTTTATTTTTAATTCAATTAAGCCACACAATTAAGCATAAAACACATAATACTCAAATAATACCTTCTTATTATTTCAAAACGAGTTACAAAGGTTAACCTAGACTATTACATCAATATTAATGCCTAGCCTAGAAACGCGGACGTTACAGAAGATGATATTGTGTATCTATATACAGAGAGAGAGAGGGGGGAGGTGGGCCCTAAATTTTGTGTATGTACCACCTAAACCGGATAAAACAAGTAAAAAAACTAAAAAGACGGGTTTCCTACAACTTGGTTCCCTCATAAAGCCACGGAAAAACTTAAGTGACTAAAAGGGTCAACCCTAAAAAAGTTCATGGGCTATATTTGTCATTTTCCCTTATGCTTACCATACTTTAAGTATAACTTATGTTTAAGTTCATTATCGTTATAAATGTTAGACTAAAACTTAGCGATAATATTGCTTGGTTTCATCGAAGGAAAAGACGATTGTTAGAAGCGAAGCGCTGCGCGAATTTCGAGTCATCACTTTAACAAGTAAGTGCATAGTTACTTTCATCTTACACATAGATATGAAGTATTAATACATGCTATATGTGCTTATTATCTTTGTTCCTGATATCTATGTCAGATGAACGATTTATACATGTTTTACGTGATTTAAACTGTATATGTATTTTTATACTTATAAGTATATTGGGTAAAGATGGGTAAATGAATGATGAGAGATGAAAGATGATATAGATGATGAGAGGTAAAAGATGATGAGAAGCCTTGACTTAAACGATGATCAAGTCATCTAGCAGAGTATAGATGACGACCACGAACTATTCTAGACAATCAAGTGTAACGCTAGCAAGCTCGCAACCTGTAGGTGTTTTTGAACTACTTTTTCACCAGATGTACTCTAAAAACCTTGGCAGCTATGGACTTAGTGCCTTATAAATGGATGTTGGCAGCTATGGATTTAGTTCCCTATAGATGAACGTTGGCAGCTATGGATTTAGTGCCCTATAGATGAACATTGGCAACTATGGACTTAGTGCCTAACAAATAACATCGGCAACTATGGACTTAGTGCATGTTGGATAAACCCTGGCAGCGATGGACTTTGTGACTATTCCCTAGGACAATCCTTAGGAATTAATGAATGAAGAATAGATGATTCTTAGGGTAGATCCTTATGAATAAAGAAGATAATGGGGATGAGAAGTTGGGTTAATTGTTTGATGATTAAACATAATAACTACATTATTGTGAGTTGAAAACCCTATGTACTCACCAGGTTTCCCAACCAGACTCACTCAGTTTATTTGTATCACAGGTGTCGATACGAAGCTACATTACACTGAGAGATTAACGAAGATGTAAACCATTAGTGTAAATGAATGTAAGGTCTATTTATGCTTATGTTTCTGTATTGACGATGACATCCCAATGTTTTAATATAAACAAAATACATTTATTCGGAAATGCTTTGATAATAAAATTTTTAAATAAGCATAAATAAAATTTTAAAATAACCGTGAATTTGGAGATGTCACAGATACCCTGGCCAGCTTTTGGGGTAGCATTGTTATTATACCTGAATATCCTACTGGAATAAACTACACGATCAAAATTATATATATATATATATATATATATATATATATATACTAGTCGTTTACCCGCGCTAAGCGCCGGGTGTGCATATTGTTCTTAGAAATTAGTTTATAGATATGATTTGTTTTTTTCTGTCTTTACTAATACCTTTGTTTTGTCACGTGATGTTCCTCTTGACAATACAAGCCACACAAAACATAGTCATATTCGAATAGGAAATTATTTTTTCTTTGAATGAGAATATGTCATTTTCAACAGGTCGAACCAGTCCAGAAAAGCCTGATGATGTCATTATTATATCAAAATTATTTTGATAATTATAAAACGTTCAAAAAATACAAAAGAAAAATTAAGTTAAAAGAGGCCAAGAAATCCGGCTCAAGTTCGTACACAAAATTCCAACAAAATTATATGAAGTTCAATTTTAAGAAACTTAAAAATAAAAACAAAATCATCTTTTTCTAAAATCGGATTTTAATGGTTGAATCGGCCACGATCGAATCGGTTTTCGTAAACACTGACGGATTTTTTCTGGTTCGTATAGAATTGGTTGTTGGCCTTCAAAAAGCCTCTAACGCGACCGCTTCTCGGTTGAATGGCTCAAAAATATTCTAACACGACCGCTTCTTGGTTGAACGGGCCGACAAATATCGGCCGGTTACGGTTTTCAACACTGTTCTCTTTAATATTTTTTACCTTTGTTCAAGATTTCTTTTAGATATATATTTTTCAACCAAAAAAGAACTATTTATCATATGAATGAAAGAAACTCCTTTATATTTTTTATTTACAATAATGTCTCTAAAAAAAATACAATAAAGATAAATAATTTGAAACAATAATACTTTTAAACTAACCATTACAAAATACTACAAATTACAATAAATTATAGAAATAATTTGCATAAATAATGTCTCCTTTCCATCGCATCCTATAACATGCATCGAGTTTCATGAATTGTTTTTTACTCGAATAGCCTCTCAATTGAAGAGTGTGATGCAAAACATTTGGTGGATCTTTAGCAACTTCAAACTTTATCCCGTGCAACTCAATCAATAACTCAATCTTAAATGGGAAACCAAAACCAAAGGAAATGAACAACTTGTAAGGTTACTGAATATTCAATTGATCACGAAATATTATGATTATGTTAATATGATAAATTAAAAGAAATAAAAGAATATAATATATGAAGGTAGAATCAATATGAAGGTATTTTATATCTCATAGAAGGTAAGAAATAAAAGAATATGTACATATTATATGTTATGGTTTCTTATGCAACAAAGCTCCCCTTTTTGTATATCACATAAAAGGTATTTTAGACCTTTTATTCATTTCAAGTAATAGCAATGTAATTTATCAAAATCCATGATTACAACAATGTACTTTAATTCTTCTAAAACTTGTACATAAACTACAACCATTCAAAATATGTAAAAGAAATGAATTTGTAGAATAAGTTACCAAAATAATTTATAATAAAAATTATAATTATTTTTCAAAGTAAACCATTTACTTTTCCAATTTCAAGATTAAAAGCTTTCGGTGGCCTTCACACTCTCCTGTACAAAGGACATTAGTTTCTTATTTTTTCTAACTTTTTCCATATTATCCATTTAAAATGTTTTTTATTTGTAGATTCAATAAATATCTATGTCTCAAGAAATATATAAACAGACCATTACCGGTACTCAGAAATTACCATATTCCCTTGAAATTTCTATCTTGGGACATAATCGAACATGAGGCTGAGAGTTGAAGCATAAAGAGGTTAGAAACCATTAAACAAAATTGAAAAAACAAAAACATAAAAATCTATAGAATCGGATAAAAAGAAATTAAAAACATATATTTATGAAAAGTAACTTAGAACCTGATAAAAATAGGTCTTTGACCAGTCTGAAGCAAAAACTAAGGAATTTACATGTTTTGCGTTTGATAGTGGTGAAGATACGTTTGAATTACCAAAAAGTTCTTCATCCATATCAAAAACCATTGGACCAAATGGGAAAGTAACTACAAATTAGTAACAGAAAAACCATTGATCTTTAGAAAAGATGAAAGTACAATCACCTCATTCTTCTATCAAAGGCTCCAGACTTGGAATTGATGTCATTTCTATTCCTATATCTCACATTGAACCTGATCTTACTTCATGACAACCTATTACCATAACAAAAATATGAGTAATTTACAGCTTTGGTTCCTATGCAATGTTACTTTTTTCGACATGGTTAACAGTATCATTTTTTTGCCTATGGTCCGCTCGTGAAGTCCATGTAAAAACAAACAATTAAAAATGAAATAAAACTACGCTTTCCTCATATTGGATTATATCAACAGGAAACCCTTATAATGTACTGCTAAATTTACATGACAAAAAAGTATACCACATGACATAATACAAACATACTTATAGTTATTTACATCAAAATTATAAAAAAACTATTCTATACTATAAGAGAAAATTAAATGTTAATAAGCTTTACCTCATAGTTATTAGCTATAAAATCCCGAGCCCCATCGTGCTATGGTTAATAGCTGCATCAAATGGTAAAGTACTTAGACATCCTTACACATAATAGAAGTCATATATCTTTTGTGACATATCTTCATCAAATATTAAAGTACTTAGACCTCATTACACATACCAATAAACGTTTATTTATAAAAACATTAAATATTACCTCAATGTATTGACAGCTTGGATCTAATGGCCCTACACAATCACTTAGACACTTGTTTATACCAAATGGATTCATTTTTTAACTACTGAAAGACAAAATAACTGAAGCAAACAGAAAAATGAAGAAAAGACAAAAGTAATTGATATTGAGCGAGACATAAATAGAGAGAAGCAGAGATGTAAGCACTCTTTTTCAAAATTCCGAGTTATTTTCACATATGTGGGATACAGTTTGAGGGAGATTGAGAGAAAAGGGAGTACATGTGTCAAACAAATGTTAGAAGCCCATATATGACTTCTTAACAAATCCGAGTTCTATACCCGATCTTCGCTTAGATAGTCTTCAAATAAAGAAAAACACAAAAAAATGATAAAATCGAAACGAAACTTAAAAAATATATCAGCTTAGAGGCAAACAACATAAAATGATTTAGGGTTCTTACTTCTTACCTAAAACTATCTGGCAGGGAGCACTGTTTCTGGTTTAAGAACCACCACCTCCAAAACCTTCTGGAAAAAAAATTAGAAGATGAAAATACCGAAAATGTGAAAATGACGGAGGAATTATAAAATTACAGCAAATAGGGAACGGTGGTGAAGATGTGTTGGTCTTTGATTGGAGAGCTTAGAATTTTAAGGTTTTATATGATTGAGATCGAAGATATGTTAACATAGCTAGTGTTTACCGATTCAAGTGGTTGAAAGTAAGGTTTGGCCGATTCAAATGCCTAAAAATGAAGAATACTAATTCAAACTTCAAAAGGCCCGATTCAAGTGGTTAAAAGTAAGGTTTGACCGATTTAAATGGCTAAAAATGAGGAATACTAATTCAAACTTCAAATGCCCTCTTAGTCTTTTATTTTTGTTGACCAGATAAGTTTTCAATGCATAAATTCATTGTACAAATCGCATTAGGCCTTGTACCTCTTAATTTTCAGTCTTTGACCAAATATGTATATTAAGGTATTAGCCGTTTACCCGCACTAAGCGACGGGTGGTGAATAGTTTATATCAGAAATTAGTTTGTAGAGAGCGCAATGATTAGTTTCAATTCAATGTTGGGTTAGATTTAGGAAACCTGTCATATTAAAAATAAGACATAATGTATTGCCAAATTACAATGCTTTGAATATTAAAGTCAAAGACAAATCTATACTGTTTCAAACACATGTAGCAACTACAACACATCTTTTATAAACATTAAATTTGAATAAATATAGAAATTAGAACCAACAGGTTGGGAAATACATATTTGATTTTGATACAAAATGACTCCATACCTGCAACAAAAGGAGTTGAACAACAGACCTTTTATCCCCAAAAGTTTGTTTAGAATAAAAAAGAACCATACTTTTATCTCGGTCGAAACTTCCTATAGCTGATAAGAAACTTCTCAAAATCACTTATAAAGAATACATCATGGTATAGAACTCCCGACTACTATTAAAATAATGCATGAACCGAAAGATATATTGTTATTTCTTCTAAGAATTTTTTTGATATGACAAAATAGAGAAATTGTTGTTTTTAAATGAAAGTCGTACATTGAATAAATTAATGATATTCACACTACATAATATGAAGTGTCCATGTCCATGGCAGCAGCAAGCCAAGTGATTTATGATGGAACAAAGTATCTTAAGCATGTCATCATCAATATAATCAAACATAACTATGAAATTCAGAACCTGCAATGTGATCTTACAGGGGCAAAGTTGTCATAATCACAAATAGAATATCCAATTTGTCTATGTTTATAAGTCATGATATGAGAATTGCATACATAATCAAACACTAAAAAATAAATAGTTATTGATTTCTTATTGACAAGAAGTGTATTGAAATTAACTGTTGTCATTACTTCAAAACCGTGTGACATTGCAAAGAAGGCATACAGAGCATTTTTCCTTATCTAGAAAGACAAAGGGGCAAAAAAAGAAACTTTTAAAATACTATTTTTTTTTAAATATCAAAAAGATTAAAGAGGTAAACTAACCTTCCAAAGTTCCTTTTTATCTTGTGGGTCTTCTGCAAAAACAAAGTTGGACCCACGATCTGATGCTCAGATACAATCTTTTGATGTCTGTTCATGTGTATGCTAATAAATTCAAATATCAAAGTTGCAAATTCAGGCAAGTCTTTTTCATTACCAAGATTAATAGTCTTCACTTGAACCACATCTAACAACTCCACCTTTGAAACCTCGTAAAAAAGGACCAAAGTGAAGAAAGTTTAACTTAAAACATATCTACAACTAATGATTACTATAAAATAGATCTGAACCTAAAATGAACCTATTTTTCCATAAAACAAAGCTAATCTTAGACTACAAAATGTAAATAAAACAAAAAATTGTATACTTGATTACATTAAGCCTCATGGTTGCATATCTATAAAGAAATGCCCAAATCTGCACAGAAAAACTCAAATCTACAAAGAAAAATCCAAAATTATTCATGCTCTTATACGAAAACCCAAAAACAAAATTTAAAAAAAAAAATCAATGTTGTTCTCGTTAACCTTGCCAGTTCTGTTCATGTTTGTAGGTGGAGGACTCAAAAACCTGCAACAAAAGTCAAAAGGTCCACAAGTACTATTATAAACTGAAAACACATTCTTTAAAATTGGTTTCATTACTATAAACCAAAATATATAGAAGAAACATATGTGAAGATGGAAAAGTAATAGCTTGCTACCTAATGCTATTTGATAAACCTTATTCAAACCATTTTTGTTCCCTTTAAGTTCATTTTCATCTAGATCTGAAAATCATTTTTCGAACCACAAAGAAAACATGGTTCAGATTTGAAAGGAAAATCAACAAATAGACTTAGTAATATGTGGATTTCGAACGTGATAAAGGATTTCTTCAAGATATTCAGGAGTGTAAAGCTTGAGATTAAATCGAACCTCTGAGATATGCTTCCTACACACAAATGAAAATAGATTCGCTTCTTGTTAGAGTAATATCATAACCAGAACTCACTATTAGGGTTAAGAGGCCGAGAATAGATTGGAAACAAAGAGATACAGACACACACACACACACACACAGAGAAAGAGAGAGATAGAGAGAGAGGGAGATAAAGAAAGAATAAGAGAGGGATTATACCTTTAGGGTGAAGGTAGTATGTGATGGCTGCTTGGTGTGGTGAATAGCATGGTGACCATAGTAGATGGTGGCAATGGTTGACTGCTCATCAGATGAAAACATAAACAAACACTTGAAAACATCAAATCGTAGATTTATTCAAATCAAATCTTGTACCATTAAAACCTAGCTTTCTTCGAATCTTAGAATAATATGGATGAATATATAAAAAGAATCACATATAAAATCCAAATTGTAACCTTAAAATTTTAGTAAAAGCCGACCGCTCATTAGATGATAAAAACCCTAACTCGTCGTTCAATCAGCCTTGGTGGTAGATAGGAATAGCAGCCATGAAGTTTCAGAGAGAGATAAAAGTGAATGAGCAGCGACGTCAAGTGTTTGGTTTGTGTGGAGGGATTAGAGTTTTAGTAGAGGATATAGAGTTAAGAGAGGTATGGTCCAATGTGTGAGGTCATGGTGGGGGAGAAGGCGATATTGGTTGTGGCAGTTCGTCGTGGTGATAAGCGGAAGGATGCAGAGTGTTTGACGGTGGAGGAAAAAAACTGTGAACAGATCCAGAAGACGAATGCATCAAATATGTGTGTGTAGCATTATAAGGCTAAATAAAGGGAGACATAGTTGGAAGGTTGTTGGACGGGACATCTAGAAATAGGAAATTGATCACCAAATTACACCATATGAGCGACAGAGGTTTAATGGAAGAAACGATGTGGATCTGGAGGAGCGGTTGGGCTAGAAATCGATTAGGGTTTTTCAAATTGTGTAAATTGAGAAAGGAGCATCAATTTATGGTGTTGAATTCATAACATATGTTATTTGAAAAAGCGATAAATTTGGGATAACTAAAAGGCCAGGTCAAGATATGGCAATAGAGATGTGAAACAATACGCACACTTCTTTGACTTTTTCAAATATTGACCAAACCAATATCCATGATTTGTCAATGCATAAAAAGGTTGTAAACAGTGCAATAAGGTTATTGCACCTTTTAAAATTCAGCTTTTTACCAAATTTGCATAATAAGTAATATATATATATATATATATATATATATATATATATATATATATATATATTAACGATATGTTTATTGCGACTCCTTTAGTTCAAGCCCCAAATCAATTAACTACTGAAAAAGGTCTTCAAAAAATTATTTACCAAAATAATTATGCAAACGAAACCTTATCTAGTATTACCGAGCATTTAGTTAAAATTAAAGAAAAAATTTTCAAAGACAAGAATGATAATAAGCAAGATATGGCAAGCACTAGTAATATAAGTTTTGTTCCTTGTCAAATCGATGGTAATTTTAATCTAGGAAATACAGATTTAATTAACGAACTAGAAAAAAGACTTTCAAAACTTCATATCTTAAACACTAACAATATTAATACTCTTACAAATGATGAATCTGAAAATAGTGATATTAATAGTGAAACAAATTTTAAAACTCTTGCTCAACAATTTATTAATTCAAATGATGATATTAGTCAACTCACTAATGACTTTTCAAATCTTAATAAAATTCATCAATCAAAGCGAAGCACTTTCGGAAAGAATCCAAAACCAACCATAAGAAATTATTGGAATAGGCCCTCTCTTCCAGATGTTCAACTAGAAGAACGAACTTTTCAATTTGATCGTTCTCAATATGATGGTAATTCTGTTTATGAATGGAATGTTGATGGCCATTCTAAACATCAAATTATGAATATTGTACAAGAAATGACTATGACTGCTAATGCTTATAAAGCTCATAATAATACTCAACTTCAAATTGTTAATATTATTACTTCTGGTTTTACTGGCAGTCTTAAAGGATGGTGGGATTTCTATATTTCACAAGAAGAAAAAGATTATATTTTATCTGCTAAGAAAACTATTATAAAACAAGAAAACAATCAACAAATACAAACGTTTGAAGATGATATGGTTAACACTTTAATTTTTGCTATTATCAAAAACTTTGTAGGAGATCCTACTACTTTTCAAGAAAAAACTTCAGAAATTTTAATGAATTTACATTGCAGAAAACTTACTGATTTTAGATGGTATAAAGATAATTATCTTGTTAAAGTTTTTTCGAGACCTGATTGTAAAGAGTCTTATTGGAAAGAACGTTTTATTGCTGGCCTTCCAAAACTCTTTGCAGAAAGAGTTAGACAAAAATTAAGAGAAAATTTTAATAATACCATCCCTTATCAAAATTTAACTTATGGAGATCTAATAAACTACATTAATAAAGAGGGATTAGCAGTTTGTGATGATCTTAGGTTTAAGGAAAAGCTCAAAAAAGATAGAATTAACAGTAAAAATGAATTGAAATTTTTTTGCCAACAATATGGTTATCAGCCCTTGAATGGTCCGTCTACTTCAAAATCTAAAGTATATAAGAAAAGATCTTCAAAATATTTCAGGAAAATGAATTATAATCTTCCAGAAAATTATAAAAAAGGTCAAGATTATGCGTCAAAATCGAAAAAACCTTATAAACCAAATTATAAAAAATCTAAAAGAAAATCAAAAGATATTATTATTTGTCATAAATGTGGGCGTAATGGTCATACAGCTAATAATTGTTATGCTAAGACAAAAATAAATGAGTTAAATGTTTCTGATGATTTAAAAGAACAAATAAGAAATATTATTTTAAATACTGATTCAGATTCCGATGAAAGTATTTCTGATTTTCAAACAAATGATTTAAATATTCTCAAAAATACTACTTCAAGTTCAGAAGATTCTGATGTTTGCGAATGTATTGGTAAATGTCATTGTAAAAATTTAATCAATGTAATTACTAGTAGTTCTATTAACGTTCTTTCACAAGATGATAAAGATCTTTTAAACTCTCTTGATTCTATAAAAGATAAAAATATCCAAGAATTATTAATAAAGCAGATGCTTAATAAAACTAATAATATAACTCCTGCTAATAATGAAAATTTTAATTTAAAAAATATATATGAAAGATTTACTGAAGCAAAGCCAATTTCTATGCAAGAACTTCAAGAAAAATTAAAAATAGTAAAACAAGAGATAAAAGAAACAAAAAATAAAATTTTAATTTTAGAAAAAGAAAAATCTTCTATTTTTAAAAACAAAAATATAGAAATTAATAAAGAAGAAGAAAATAAAATTGAAAATGTAACTATTGGTAAAATTATAAATAATCAAGTTTCTCAAAAATAGAACACTCAAATTACTTTAGTCAATGATAATTTTAAAACCAACCTAACTGCTTTAATTGATAGTGGTGCTGATATGAATTGTATTCAAGAAGGAATTTTTCCTACACAATTCTATGAAAAAACTGCATCTAGACTTACTGGTGCCGGAGGTACAAAATTAATTGTAAATTATAAAGTTTTCGATGTTCATATTTGTAATAACCAAGATTACTGTTATAAAACTCACCTAATTTTAGTAAAAGAGCTCTCTTCTCCTTTAATTCTAGGAACACCTTTCATTACAAAACGATATCCTTTTATGGTTCATGATGATGGTATAAGAACCAATGTTTTTGGAAAAGAAATTATATTTAAATTTTGTGAACCTCCTCTATATTCAACGATTAATGTCCTTAATTATAAAACACAACAAGCCAAATATCTTATTAACGAAATAAATAGTGTTCGAATAACTAATCAATTAAATGATAATAATATTCAAAATAAAATAATAGGTTTAAAATTAAAATTTGAAAAAAATATATGTTCTAATATTCCTAATGCCTTTTGGAATAGAAAACAACATATTGTAAAATTACCGTATATAAAAAATTTTGATGAAAAATATATTCCTTCAAAATCTAGAGCCATTCACATGAATAGTGAACTAGAAAGTCATTGTAAAAATGAAATTCAAGATTTAATAAATAAAAAACTCATAAGACCTTCTAAATCACCATGGTCTTGTTCAACATTGTATGTTATGAATGCCGCAGAATTAGAAAGAGGATCACCAAGATTAGTTATCAATTATAAACCTTTAAACAAAGTTTTAGAATGTATTCGTTATCCTATTCCTAATAAACGAAGTTTGCTAAAAAAAACTTTATGATTCAAATATATTTTCAAAGTTTGATATGAAATCAGGATTTTGGCAAATACAACTTCATGAGGAAGATAAATACAAAATTGGTTTTAATGTTCCCTTCGGGCATTTTGAATGGAATGTAATGCCTTTTGGATTAAAAAATGTCCCTTCTGAATTCCAAAATATTATGAATGATATCATAACTCCTATAAGTAGTTTTGCTATTGCTTATATTGACGACGTCCTAATTTTTTCAAAATCAATTGATCAACATTTCAAACATTTAAATCAATTTCATGATTTAATTTATCAAAATGGTTTAGCTGTCTCTGCAGCAAAAATGCATCTATTTAAAGATGAAATTCGTTTTTTAGGACATGATATTGTCAAAAACACTATTAGACCTATTACAAGAAGCTTGCAGTTTTCTACTAAATTTCCTGATGAAATTAAAGATAAAAGGCAACTTCAAAGATTTTTAGGATGCTTAAATTATATCCATGATTTTTTCAAAGATTTAAGGATTATATGTAAACCACTTTATAATAGATTAAAAGATAATCCTGAACCATGGACTCAAAAACATACAGATATAATTAAATATATAAAACAAAAGGTTCCTACTTTGCCATGTTTAAATTTACCTCATCCCAATGCCAATATCATAGTTGAAACCGATGCTAGTGATATTGGATTCGGAGGAATTCTGAAACAAAAATTTGTTAACTCAAAAGAGGAACAATTGGTTCGATATTACTCTGGTGCATGGAATGATACACAAAAAAATTATTCAACTGTCAAAAAGGAAATTTTAAGCATTGTTTTATGTATTAAAAAATTTGAAGATGATTTATTTATGAAAATTTTTTTATTAAGAATAGATTGTCAATCTGCAAAAACTATTTTAGAAAAAGATGTGAAAAATATTATTTCCAAGCAAATTTTTGCTCGATAGCAAGCCCTCTTAGGTAACTTTGATTTCGAAATAGAATTTATTAAAGGAGAAAATAATTCGCTTCCTGACTTTCTTTCTCGAGAATTTTTGCAGGGAAAATAAGTTC